CCTTGTCAGCTGGGGTGGGGCAAGGCTAACAGGCGAATTTTGTCCATCAGACGTTTACTAACTTTGAAACATCAAAAAATTACTTAAATTGGGATAATTATAGCCTTACATAACCAGCTGAATAGAATTGACCAGATGCCTATTACTTATTCTCCTACGCAAGTGAAAACATACCCAGCATAAATATTTAATGAAGGAAGTTCAACGCGTTCTCGAAATCTCGAAGTGTTTCCTTAAAAGAAAACTTTAAAACACCCATGGTTTCAAACTAGAAACAACAATTTTGTCAGATATAGCATATATTACCATGAAACTTTGGCGTTTCACCATGCAAACTAAGCACTTTTTGACTCGCTAGCAGGGCAGGATTAACATCTGAATGGGAAATTACAATCCGTCTTCTTTACTTATTTTTTTTTCAGATTTCACACGGACATAACATTTAATTTCGAAATTCGAAACAATTTTGGACAAACAAGGTAATTTGTGCTGAGTGTAACTGATCTTAATTTTTTTCGTTTAGCCAGTCTATGAAAAAAGTCCTCTTTAAAAAACCTTGAAAGGAAATTCTTACACCAGTTGTCTGAGATCTGAAAGCCCGCAGCTTTTTGTGTAAATTATTCTGTTTGGCAATCTTAACTATTTTGTAGCAAGAAAAACCCCTTAAGTTAAGAAAACTCTTCATCTCGCGAACTAAAACATACGTTCCAACCAATTATAAGTTGCCCTCCGATATAGATCGTACAGACTATACTAACGCACAATATGAAATGACCCTGGATCTCTCCTGAGGACTTTTTGCTATTTTTACGTCTAGTTTTGAGATTTCTCTACTCAAACGAAGTACTATCTTGTTCTTGATAAAAATAAACGTGGATTAGCCACATCGTTACTAAAGCAATTTTAAACAAGCGTAAAAATAAAACGTTATCTCGCGTTCTGATGTTGACAAAGTAAGGCGCTGAATTTCTTTCAAAACAAGCCGACTAAAAGCAGCTTACAATTTTTGGACTAAAAGATCATATCGACAAGAATTAACGTCCTCGCGCAACTAAATCTTTTGATCAAAGAGGTTATAAAGCTCAAAAATTTTCCAACGACGAGCAAAAAAAGGCAAAAGCTAAAATTGACGTTTTGTTTTCGCTTTTCGTGCGCCACAGTTTTGTGGTCAAAAGATAGTTTCGTGTTTAATTTCCAAAACTTCATCGCAGTTTCTAATCATACAGACGGAATTATTCTCAATCTTTCGCTAAACACTGTACTTGAGAAGTAATCTAATCGCTCGAGCAGAACTGACCTTACAGTGTGTAATCAAGGCAAGCTTCTGGTCCCGGCTTCTTCTACCACCTTGCCCTCTTTGTGATTACGGACCTTCTGTTTCGCGATCGTTTACGAGACCGCAATATATTCTTTTAGCAACCCACATCGCCTTTTGTGTCCATGAAAATCAGTTCCGGCGTGTGTTGTGGTGGCTGTATCAATTAACTGTGGCCCAAATAAATGAAACAATAGCGGCTTGATTATTGAAATTAGCAACTAAATCAGGCAATTAACTGAAATTGACGAGAATTGGCCGCCACAGTGCTAGTCAGCAGGTGGTTTGGCGAGAAAAGGGATGAACATAGCAGGAGATGGATACGGGGGCGAGAAATAACTTACGTAAACGATTTCATAGAATTAATAATGGCAGATAACTGACTGGAATGGTGCTGATACTCGATTGATAACGATGACGAACGATTTCGGAAATAACTTTGGTATGTCCCAGTCATATGGCGCTTATCAACCTGTACAAAAATGTCAGACAGTAATAAATGTTTATGTCTTTGCCTTCCTGAAGGGTCATCTGCTAAACGGCATCCATATTGCATCAAAACATTGTCATGTTTTGTGCCCTTGTCGTAATCAGGGCGACCGATATAGAACGAATTGATTTTGGAGAATTCAATTCCTTAAGATTCATCTTGATTTTGTAAATCAGTGATAAGAGAGCAGACAGCTTTAATTTCGAACTGTTATTAAGATCATGTTGATGTATACAGTTCCTAACTGGAAAGAGATTTTGAACCACCAACATACTTTTCTTGTTCGCGTATTTTAACCGATTGACGTTACAAACTACAAGAGCTAAAAAACAACACGAAAATAAAACCACAGTTTTCATTTGAGCCATGTTTGCGCACAAATCAGTTTATTTGTGGTCAATTTCCGTGCAAAAACCTAGTTAAGATTGCTCTTGTTTTTTAGTCGAGTTCTCGCCCGCTAGGGGGCACGTCTTACTCTTCCTAGCTAATAACCAATGTTCACACTGTACTGAGACCAATTGATGTGTTTTGATTGGCAGTTAGCGCTTGAGCCGATAATGTTAGCACTTAAAACTAACTGATTTCATTCATAGGAATCAAAGTGGGCGTAGGCGCCTGCGCAGTAGCGGCCACTACAAAATCAAATCAATTTGTGGCGCATTGTCAAAAACAATTTTATCACCTCGGTGCATAAATTTCATTTTTTTTTTCTCCAAGATAACGCACAAAACCTTATATCCGCAACCAGAATGTTGTAATATCATTAAGAAAAAAAATCTATAATGTGATACTCGATTTTATTAACTCGAAAGTGATATCCGTGAGTGAATCATTAATCCTTTCCCTCGAAATAATCTCGCGCATTCTTTCTAATTGAATGAGTCTGATGCACACCTTTTTCTAAACAAATTAATGAAACCAATTCTGCCGTCCCAGCACCTAATTTTGTGTCCTTTTGTCTTCGCTTCTCGCAATCTCTCATTTTTGGCATTCGTTTTAGTAAACTGAATATACGACAATCGGTGAAAAAGAGAAAGTTCGATTCATCATTCGCGGCTGAAGATTCCTTGTTTGCCACCGTTTTATCAACACAAACATAGCTTGCTGTCTTGGGAACAGTT